GAATCTGAGATAAAGAAATATAAAACAAAAGAGATAAACATGTTTTGATACTTGTTAAAATATCAAAGTGTTTAATTTTTAAAAATGGAGAAGGATGCTAGATTAGATCTAGGTAAATGTAGTAAGTGATATGTTGTAATGGCTTTCTAAGATCATGTTTCATACTTTTTTGCGTGCATTCTGTTATGTAAGGGAAAAGGCTCTCAATTCACCTTTATGGGCTACTTAGAGCTTTCTTTCTCATAGGGACTTTGATTGTATTGAAGCATCCATATCCCAAGAAAGTAGAAGAGCCTTCCATTTATGAATCTGTGCGAGTCCACACGGCTATGCAGACTGGAAGGACAGAATTTGACCTCATTCCCACTGCTCCATCGGTGAGTTCCCAATTTTCTAGTTGAACTACTGGTTGGAGAAAAGAAAGCTTTCCATAGTTTACTATGGAATTAGTAAATAAGATTTTGATTAGAGCTGAAGTGAATCCTTTAGAAGAAAGCATCCATGCTGGAACTTCTTGGGGTTGAAAACTTGGCAAATCTAGAAGACATCAGTTTGGGAAAGACGTGTCTTAGTGAGAAAATGTTCTTCCTCAAATGGTGCATTTCACCAATTAAAGGTAAAGGAGGCGGTGCTCATCTCCATTTCCAAGGGAGCCAGCTTTGTCCAAAGACACTTCCATGGTCATATGGCCAGTATGACTATGTGCTGAGGCGGAACACTGTTACCTTCCCACTGAAGTAGTATCTATTTATCTACTGGCATTTGCATGTTTTTGAATTGCTATGTTGGCAGGAGTAGGAGCAAGTAACAGGAGCTCACCCAGTTGTGAAGTGATTGAATCTTGAACCTGGGCAGTCAGCTTTTTAGCTGACAAGCTCAGGATCTTTAACCACTGAGCCATTGCACCCCCTTTCAGCAATTAATGTATTTTATAGCATAAAGATTCATGGACATGAAGGCTGGGATCAGAAAATGCAGTGAATTGCAGATGACCCAATTTCATTTTGCCCTAATAGGGGTATTGTATGTGTATGTTGACTGAATTTGGTAAACCATATGAATTATGATGAACAAAGGATGTTCAGTTACCTATTGTTTATGTTTGATCCATCTAAAATATGTATTTCATACATTATAGTCAGCACCCACTTTAATACATGTTGCCAGAGGGAATAATTCACCAATTTTTTGACAAAATAAATTTTGCATAGGTGTACATTGAGATGAACCTCTTGGGAGAGAGAGCAGATAACTCATTGATAAGAGAAAATGAATAATTACAGCTGAAAACTACCAACTTCTTTTGCTGTGTCAGTCACAGCAAGACTCTGAAAAGACTCATGTTTGAGATGAAGATTTACCTGTCTCCTCCCTTCCCTTATTACCTGACATCCTTCTCAACCATCCTAATAAACTTTCCTGTGTTTCATTGCAGTTAGGGACTAAAGAAGGTTATCTAACAAAGCAAGGCAAAATAGTTAAGGTAAGCAATCTAAAAGTTGTTCTATTGTTTTTTTCTCTCTTACACATTAAAAACCATCCTGTTAAACATGCTAAGGAGCAGTGCTTGAAAATTACATTGGGCATGCGTGAGCAAAATAAGATCTGGAATACATATATAATATCCAAGAATCGCTGGATTCTTAAGGAACTTATTTTTCCTTAGCATAGCAGCCTCTAGGCATGTTGGACTATCACCTCTATAATTCCCTGTTATGATGGGAGTTATAGTTGAATGCTCCTGGGAGATATTATCTTAGTGAAAGCTGTATGAAGCAGAGAACCATATGAAGCTGCCTTTGGTGGTTCATTTTGAAAAGGCAGCAAATGGTATATTTATTTAAAAATGCATTTTTCTTGCTATAGAGCAGAGAATACTTCTTGAACTTTCACCTTAAGTGCTGAAAAATCCAGATTTCAGCAAGAGTGTGCTGCCCCCCTTTTTATGTGCATTATGTTTATGGATGCCATCTTGAGTTTTTTGAGCAGTATTTCTGCCAAAATCTGTTGGCTGTTTCACATATTCCTCTCTCGGTACCATTTTTAGAATTGTCTCTTCGTTTCCCGGTTCTCTCACAATTTTTTTTAAAAAATGTTTTATTGATTTTTTTTACAATAACAATCCTTACTGCCTGATGTACAGCGTGTTGTCTTGGTTCATAATTTTTTTTTAAAAAAAATACACAATAGTAGTTAATTAACAGTCAATAATAATTAATTTTTATACTTCCATAATTAGTAGATTGATTAATAGTGTATTTCTTTGATCTTCTCTTCTCCCAATAGTATTCTCCTTCTTCAGCCTTAAACAAGTATAATTTTTAATATTTTCAATGCATAAATGATTAAATATGAACATTTTCTTCCATGTTTGTACCGACAATAATAGCGTTCATATGTGACATTTTTTTTCTTATCAACTTGTGTTATTTTTATAAAAATCAATTTATTGTGTTCACCATATATCCTATTTTCATAAATCTTGTTTAAGCTTAATTTCTCCTTAATATTCAAACAATTCTTATCGGTCATAATTTTCTCAGTATTTAACATCTAAATATCCAAATGTTCCATTTTAATACATCATCCCAATGTTTTCATATTTCATATGTTATAAAAATACTATACTACTTATCTATCTTATAGGTTATCTACCTATAACATCTTTTCTGATCAGTTTATATTTCACTTATATTTGTAAAAGTTAATTTGTTAAAATCACTATATATCCTTTTTTTCAAAGTTCTTATTTAAGCTTAATCCCCCCCCCCCCGTTCTCTCACAATTGTCCCTTTCTGAATCAGATGTGGCCACCTTCCTTTTCCTGATTTCAGACTGAGATTACAGCATAGACACTGAAAACCTCTAAGCAGTGTTTCTCAACCTTGGCAACTTTAAACTGCCTGGACTTTAGTTCCCAGAATCCCCAGCCAGCATGCAGGACATACAGATATGGGTTTTATCAAGCCATAGGCACACATATTCATAGTAAGAGAAAAAAAAAGAATTTTGTTTTGAATGGTTGAGTTATGTGACTACAAATAGTTGTTATAATTAGTGCTTAATTTTAGATCCAGCTATCTATCAAATTTAGAGTTATAGAATATTCAATGTATTGTCTGAATTGACTTTTGAATATTCTCAAATCGGAGAAACAAGTAGCCAATCTCAGCCTTTTTCCATGCTCTTTATGAGTTTACTGGCAAGACTACCCTTAGTGTTTCTCTAATCTCCAATCTCATTTGAGCTGTGTATGGCCTCAATCTCACTTCTCCTTTTTCATGTAGATTCATCTGTTGTCTTTTCCTGTTCACATCTCATGTCATGTAGGAGGTTGCAACACCCTCTTCTTTTTCACTTACTAAATCTGCTTTACTTCTAGAATCTTCTTCTGAGCCATCCTACCATTGCAGTTCCTTTTTTTCCTCACGGTGGATTTGGAGTAGACTTCATCGGAAGAGGTTGGACCATGGAAGGTTTACACAAATCGTGGACTTTGCAACGTATAATCCCTTCCGATGAGACACCGTAGAGGTTCAGAGTAAATCGACAAAGAAAGAATAAAACAACTATGTTCAACGTAAAGGACAGGTACATGTGAGTAAGTCATACCGAGGATCTTATCTATGGGAGATGTTACGTGTGTTAGATACAGGTAATCTTCAACTTACAACTTTTTGTTTAGTGATCATTTGAGTTTCCAACAGCACTGAAAAAGGTGATTTGTGACTGTTTTTCACACTTACAATGGTTGCAACATCCTCATGGTCATGTGATCAAAATTCAGATGCTTGGCAATTGATTCATTTCTATGACGGTTGCAGTGTCCCGGGGTCATGTGATCACCTTTTGCAATCTTCTGACAAGCAAAGTCAATGGGGAAGTCAGATTCACTTAACAACTGCAGTGATTCACTTAACAACTGTGGCAAGAAATGAAAAATGGGACAAAACTCACTTAACAACTGTCTCACATAGCAACAGAAATGTTGGGCTCAATTATAGTTACAAGTCAGGGACTCCCTGTATCATGGTGAGAAAGGGAAGAAAGAGAAGTTTTTTTTCTAGTACGTGTTGCTCCTTTTGTGTTGAATTACTTTCAATTTCCCTTCTCTTTATTCTTTTAGAACTGGAAAACTAGGTGGTTTACACTGCATAGAAATGAGCTGAAATACTACAAAGATCAAACGGTGAGTTGTGTTTTACTCTGTTTACTTGTGAGAGCGAACACAAAGGAATCAACTGGGTACTGGAAATACTCTTCCTCCCATGTTTCCAGAATAGCTATTGTGAAACTGAGTGCCAGGCAACATGGACTTTGTACTGACTGGCATTTTTTATTTATTCCATGATGTCAGTTCAGTTAGTGGGCTACACTTACATGCCACCTCTATTCCATCAATGACTGTACTTCCTTTACAGCAAAGAAATGCAGACTGCACATTCCTCCCTAGCCCCCAAATTCTCCCCTGAAATTTAGTGGCAAAAATTATTTTCTGTGTTGTAATTATGCATTTTGGACACCAAAATAGTTTTCTTAAGTGTCTTCAAAATTTAATAATATTTGCTATGTGCACCTCAACTCTGCAAAATGAGGTTGCCCTGCCCCACCGGTATCACCACAATAGTTGATGTGATACAGATCCTATGGGCGGTTAGAGGCCGATAAGAATTTTTAAAGTATGGCCCCAAAATGTGGGCTGCCCCTCCTTTACAGAAATGTACTCACAAGAGGCCTAAAGCTTTAGCAAGATAAGCTACATTCATTACTATTGGAGGAGAAAGAAAATCCACCTATGTTGGATATATTTTTCTAGGGTTTTCTTTTTCCTTCCAGTTGTACTAAGTCTTTTGCAATGTATTAAATCAAACTCACTAGTGGGCAACTCATAGCAGCTGAGCTGTAGGCAGTCCTGGTTGCTTTCTGGCAGCATTCAGAAATAATCATCTTGTTCCATCCTGTAGTTCACACAGCTGTTAAAATTGCTAGGCATCTACCAGATGAGGCAAAAAAGTGCATGTGACGCTATGAGCATACTGATCTTATCATCCTAAATTATGCAACTATGTAATTACAAAATTTGCATCCTTTTTACAATAACATAATGATGCACAGAACATACGACATTATTATGATGATTATGTCCAAAATGACTAAACTAAATCAGTGGTAAACCAGGGATTTTCAGATTCTGTTCACGGTCCTTTAAAAAAAAAGATGTGATTTGATTTTGTTTTTTTTAAAACTACAAGTTCAGTTTTATACACTACATTCCTTGTGCATTTTCCACTTCAGTGAGGCACATCAGCCAACCTTTCTCTTACAACCCACACAAACTATAGGGAAGTGTTTTCCTTTGAAAGCCTTCCATATCTATGGACATTGATTGGTAACAAATGACAACATAGATGATGTAAATACAGAAATGCTGCAATTTGGGTACCACAGACCCACAGGATGGCCGGCAAGGGAAGGGCTCGTGGGCCCAATTCACTGTCTATCCTACATTTTCCACTTTAAAGTTCAGCAAAATTTTGGAGAGAGATCCAAAGGTGCCCAAAATGAGCTTGGGTGGTACCTGCAGTCTAAATGGAAATTCTTTTCTGTGCAGTTTTTGTCTTGCTCAAGGAAAATTTGAGTGCATATACACCCACACACTCCTAGACATCTGTGTTGCCACTTGTAAAGAAACTATCTCTTGATGGTTTCAATTCGACTGAATTGAATCGATTCATTTTAGGCATACAGGGTTCATTAAAGTCAGTAAGATAGCCACAACCATGTGACCAAAGCCCAACCATTTTATGTGTATTGCAACTGAGATCTTATTTTTTTTTTATTCCTCCCAGGAGCCCCCTTCCCCATCTAGCATAGATTACACATAAGGCGATACTTCAGACTAGTGCAAGTGTATTTGTGGAGGATTACAGAACTAGAATTAACTTGCATATAATGAGGGAAGCACCAAGAGCCAAGGCAACTGAAGGACAAACTGAAATTGCAAATTAATCTTTGTCTGTAGGGTCTTACTTACTGTTCTGTTTCTTACATGATGTCTGTGATGGGGCAAGGTGGGTAATGATTTTAAATAATAAAGCAGAGCAATTGTTTCAAAAATAACATTTTTCAAGTCCACAGAGCCAATCAGAGCACTGGATTTAACTGAATGCTCAGCAGTACAGTTTGACTATTCCCAAGAGAAAGTGAATTGCTTTTGGTAAGTTGAGGTTTAAATACAATTTTGGGGTGTCCTAGTGTATCCTTTCTTTCTTTCTTTAAAAGTTTCTCAGTGCTATTCTGCCGAAAACTTTTCCTCTTTTCCTCTTCACCTCACTGCTACCCAAATTGCTCTTATTTGTCATAAATTCAATTAAGACATTGTGCTGGTTTTCCTTGATTTGTCAATTTGCCATCAGAACTAATTGCTTCCTGCTCTCCTTTTGTTCTTATTTATTTTGAACAGCTTTAGAAAATGGCTGTGCTTGAATTCCCAGAATTCTAGTTTAATTAGGAAAGAGCAGTGTACCCATGCATGCTATTTGATTGCTTAGCTCCTCTTGCATATATATGTTGCTTAAGACTGAAACAAAAAGCTGCGGTTTTAATCATCCTAACAAGGAAGGTCAACAGCAGTTTCCATAATTTACCTGGTCGTACTTGGCCTTTGGAATACACTGGCTTGGGCCACACTTTTTTTTTTTTTAATTTTAAAATTTTTTATTGACAAAACAATTAAAACAAAAAGGGACATGACATGACTTCCAGTATACATAATCCTAATAATTCGTTCCTTATCATATTTAAAGTTCTAAATATACATCTCTCTACATAAATATATTCCCCTATATAATACAGTCTCAAGCTTATTTCTCTACATATTAACATATAATTTTATATACCACAAACTTAAACTTTAACTCAAAACCCGAACAGTTCTTCTTGACTCATACCAACAGTAAAATTTGTCCCAGATTCTAAAATAATCTGTTTCCGTCTTGTCCTTTAATTCCATAGTTAGCCTGTCCATGTCCGCACATGAAAATTTTTTTTGTAGAATCTCTTCTTCAGTAGGAATTTCTTTGTTTCTCCAATTTTGAGCATAGGTCAGTCTGGCGGCCGTAAAGATGTGTAGCATTAGATAGAGTGTCCCTTTATCATATTTTTGTATAGTAATACCAAGAAGGAAGAGTTCTGTTTTAGTTCTACCTCTGTTGTTAATATTTCTTCTAACCATTTTTGAACCTTGTTCCAAAAAACACGGGCTTTCGGGCACTCCCACCACATATGATAATATGTCCCTCTTGCCAAATTACATTTCCAACATGTAGGGGAAATATTGGGGGCCATTTTAGCTAGTCTTGTGGGCGGGTAGTGGCTTGGGCCACACTTGTGTTTCAATTCAATGGAGTTAATCCTTTTGAATTCTATAAATCTAATTATAACAAAATATGCATTTAACTTACGGGTACTCCTCTATTAGCGACCACAATTGTTACCAGCAACATTGTTTAGCAAAGCAGTCTTTAAGTGAAACTGTAATAATGTTTATGATCTTACTTCAGCTTTCTTTTGCTGAAAGTTGTAAATGTGAGGATTGTTTGTAAAGTTATTTTTTCACCACCAATATGACTGCAAGGGGTCACTAAATGAGGCAGTCACTAAATGAGGATTACCTGTACTTTTTTTTTTTTTTTAAAAAGCAACCATACCTTCAGGACATGCTTAATATGGTTTCTCCAAGCAGGAGCCCCTCCCCAAACATGTTGATTAGGCTTGATGAGAGTTATACTCTGGTAGGCCCTACATATGTCTGATTCACATTAAATGGAGCACTTTGGATGCATCTTTAATGCTGATATGTTTTTACCTGTTTTGTTTTTCAACCACTAATGCTATTATTCTTTTTTATCATAAGGCTTGGTCAAATTTCAAGTATTTACCTCAATTACTTTTTATTCCTATTAAGAAGAAAAGTAAAAATATTTTTAGCTTTAGTTTCTTTGGGAAAATGGAATATTAGTTTCGGATATGACTATGATTTCCTTACATTTGTGACACAGAATGTTTATAATTTTATATTTTACAGTTTAGTATTTCCAATGCGGACGTATTATCTGTTTGCAAAGACTGGAGTAGAAGCAGATGAGTGGATTAAAATATTGCAGTGGAAACTGGTAAGGAAATATCCATGATTTGATTAAAATTAAATGGGTAGCAATACAATGACATATAACAGTTCATGCTGAGAGTGCTGATTTCTCTAATTTAATCCTACAATGGTAGCCTTAGAAATACTGTAATTAAAAAGAGAAAATCACAACATCCATACTCATGGACATTTATACATTCCCCACTCCAAAAAGCCATAGGTTGCTTCTTTGCTTATACAGGTATTCCTTGACTTGCAACCATTCATTTAGTGACAATTTGAAGTTACAACAGCACTGAAAAAGTGACTTATGACTGCTTCTCATACTTAACGACCGTTGTAGCATCCCCATAGTCACATGATCAGAATTCGGGTGCATGGCAATCAGCATGTATTTATGATGGTTGTAGCGTGTTGGGGTCTTGGGATTATTATTTGCAACCTTCCAGGGGAGCGCCTGACAACAAAGTCAATGAGGGAAGCCAGTTTCGCTTAATGACCGCAGGATTCACTTACCTGCAGTGATTCAATTAACAATGGTAGGAAAAAAGGTCATAAAATGTCTGATCCACATTAAATGGAATATCACTTAACTACTGCCTTGCTTAGCAACAGAAGTTTTGGCTCAATTGTGGTCGTAAGTCGAGGACTATCTGCATTGGCTCCAATTCAATCCTTCCTAACTCCAGATAACAAATAGACCTTAAGAGCAATAATATTCTGTACAAACAATACCAAATTAGATCACTCAAGAATGTGACTTATATGCGGTAGTTTCCTATGTTCTTTTTCCAAAAGGAAATGAAACTGTATTAATCATTAGGGCCCAGTGCTTCTATACAGGTCACAGAGCACTCAATTTCACTTTTCTCTGTAGTGTCTTTGCAGTCTTCCTGAGCTTAGCTAGTGCAAGTGATTCAGTCATAATGAAACTCCCCCCACCTCCTCCCCAAAGCTGTTATTTGGACTTTTAAATTATCCTTTAATACTGCACAATGGTGCTCATTGTGGGTAATCACATGAATTAAAGCTTTATTACGCAAGAAAAGGCTTTTAGTGAATGAGAAGGGTAGTATACTGTAGGTGAGGCTTTGATTTGGATTAAATGCTGAATGGAGAATTTTAGCTCTAGAAAAAGTGAGTGTTTGACTTTCTGGTAGGAATGAGAAAACAGGAGTGAGGCTAAATTTGCAGTTGGACAGTAGTTTAGTCAAAATGGTTTATTTGTTTAAAACCACTCAAAATCAGCAGGGGTATGGGATGACAGCATCAAGGCAGAATTGTTGCTTTACACTTTTCAAGTAAAACATGTAAAATAGTCTAATAAAAAGCTGAAACCACTTAGTTTAGTGACTACTTTTAAAAGAAAAAATTATGCATAGAATTGGTAAGAATTCACCAAGTTTAATGTTTCAACCTGAGAAATAAAAAAAAAAAGTTGTGAAATGCTCAAATGATTTGGGGGAAGTGATTTGAAGGGAAATATTCTTAAATTCAAATAACCAAGTCGTGTTATAATAGGACTTGTTTTCTTTTTCTATTTCTTTTACGACATCAACCTTCCCACCCCAACGCTGATATCTTTGTGTCTTATCAAACTATCCTTTCATCTTTATTCAGTCAATCCTGCTTAAAATATATAAAGTTGAGAAGTCGTCTCCATTATTGGCCCTGCTGCAGTGTTTATTTATTTTTATTTACTTTTTTAATATTCAGCCATAAAAATGGCTCCCAGTGGCTTACATTTATAAGACAAATTGAATATTTGTTGCAATAATAAAAGTCAGCAATATTAATAAATATCAATATGATAAATATGAATGCAAAGCTGACTGCTTTTCAGTTCCCAGATGCCCTTCATAAGACTTGCATTTTCATTTTCATTGTTTCCAGAAGGCCAGTGATAGGGTACTAAGCTTTCCTCCGAAGGGAGGCTATTCCCAAACTTGCTACCAAAGCTGTAAATTTCTGGGCAGCCAATTCAGCAACTGCAATACTGATAATTGTGATCATGGTAACCTTGTGCTAATATGAGACCCACTGCATTTTGAACAAATTATACTTTCTTGTGGGGGGGGATAGAGTTCTAATTATTGCTATTTGCCATATACTACAAGGGTGGGCAACAATGGCAATCTTATGACCTGTGGATTTCAACTCCCAGAATTCCTGAGCCAGCCAGAAATTCTAGGAATTGAAGTCCACAGATTGTAAAGTTGTCATAGTTGCCCACCCTGATAGACTACCTTTTGTATACGATATACACTGTAGTGAACTGATTAGAGATGACGGGAGATATAGTCTAGCAATATGCAGAGGATATCAGAAGCTCTTAAATTACATAGTATTTTAATTTACTTTTATTTATAAATTCATTTCAACAGCAAATATTTTCTCCTTTACATTTTTGTTCCTAGTCCCAGATAAGGAAAAAACGCCAGCATGATTCCACACTCAGGCCATAGTAATTTTGGCTTCAAATCTAACTGCACGACAATCAACATCGGTTCATATTCATACTCCCTTCAGATTCGTTATTCAGCATTAAGAAGTGCTGCACCAGATCAGATCAGAGGTTTTTAAACTCTGCAGTTGCCGACTTGCTGACAACCTGTTTCTAGGAAATTCTTGAACACTCTGTTAAAGCAGAAGACGATTACCTTGGAAGACGGATATTCACCTGTTCAACATTTCATTATTCTGGATACGCCCGGTGATTACTGGCATTCTGTATTTGCCTTTGCTGCCAAGTTTTCACTAGTTCTTTGTATGTAAGCAGTTTCAATGAAAGTACTTAGTTTCATAGCATGAACCTGAACTAGCTGTGTACCCACTCATCCCTGGCTACCATTCTGTATGCTTCAAACCATTTACACTGTGGTCTGTTAAGACACATTACCTGAACACAGTTTTTTTTTCTAATAGTTTTGATTTCACCTGTGGCTTTGACTAGTGTTAAGAATCTTGTTAAGCCTTCTAAATCATTTTCTCAGTTTGAATTCCCTGATGAGCAATCGTTATAATTTACTGCTAGTGAAACAAATTTCTATGGGCAAACATTGGGAGTTACAGGTAGCCCTTGATTTACAGTTATTGGTTTAGTGACCGTTCAAAGTTAAAACGGCACTGTAAAACGTGACTCATGACTGGTTTTCACATGATTGTTGTAGCATCCCCATGTTACGTGATCAAAATTTGTGCGCTTGGCAACTGGCATGTAATTATGATAGCTGCATTGTCCAAGGTCATGTGATCACCATTTGTAATCTTCCCAGCTTGCTTCTGACAAGCAAAGTCAATGGGGGAAGCCAGACTCATTTAACGACCACATGATGCACTTAATAGCTGCAGTTAACATGGCCCTCATTCATTAATGGCTGTACTTTGTCACCAATTGCTGCTGCTTTAAATTTACTCCAAGGACTCAAAATGCCACAATTTGTCATTTTGTCAGTGCAGATAGATCAATGTAGCTGTTTTCTAAGACAAAAAGAAACTGCATTTGTGTCTCAAGACATATATAGATGGTAACAGCTACATTGTTTAAATATATTTGCCCTATAGTAGAAATTGATATCTATTGGAAGCTTTATGCTGAATGCACATCTAATATATGTATTCTGATCCTGGTTCAGCAATACATTTTCTGCAAATATTTAGCATACTTAAGCACAAAGTCATGTGAGAACATACCTCCTTTGCTAGATCATAAGAGACCTGCAGAATCAAAGTCTGCATAGCATTTTATTACCTCCAGTTGTCAGCTAATGTCTTTGGAAGATGAAATAAATTTTTCTGTTAGTATATGCATTTGACATACTATGATGTTCTATGCCAGAGTTCCCCAATGTTTCCAGCTATGTGGACCGGTGGGGGGGGGGGAGAAGAGGGGATGGTTCTGTGCGAACAGCTGGCAAGCATGCACGTGAATGCAGTTTTATTTGCATGAGTGGTGTGCATGTGCACCTGCTGCTCATGCAAATAGGGCATGCACACACATACTCACTCACTGCTCGCACAAGTGAGGATGTGTGTCTGCTCGCCGGCTGTTTCCAGGGCCCAGTTGCAATCCCCACATGGTCCACTAGTGAGGCCCTCTAAGTATGCCACTAACTCAAACCTATTCTAGAGGCCAGAGTACTTGGGTTTAAAGAAAAGCAGCGCAACAAGAAATATAAAACAACACAATACATATGAGGGAACAAATAGGCATACATGTAAAATTAGTAATTAATTTCATTAATTACTATTTAGAGTTAATACCATTTAAGAGTTCCAAAATATATACAACCAACTATGGCTCTCATATTTGTTAACATTTTCTTGTATTTTTTTAATCTTGTAAAACATTTGTTTTCTCGTATGTTTTATTATTTAATATTTTTATGTATTACCAATAGGAACATTTCCAATGTTACACAGTTGTCAGAGTTTGTAAAAACAAGAGTGAATGAAGGATCGTACAAATATATATTGGGAAGAACTGTATCATATTTTATACTTTTATTATAAAATTTCTAATAAACCAGGAACAAAAAGAAAATACAATTATAGCTGTGCAGTGGATAAGACAATAGTGATAATACAAATATTTCCAAGTTTTACATAACTAATCTTCCTTTCTCAGTGGGGTCTAATGCTGGTCTTAATTTAAATGAGATTTCCACTACTGGATTTTGAAAAAAAAGTACTTGTGTATTCTCTTAGTTCAATGTTTCTCAACTGGGACAATTTCCAAATCATAAAATATAAGAGTTAGAATGAATCTTGGATATTAGTTACTCTACTCATTCTCAATCTTGGCAATCTCCAGGTGTGTACATTTTAAATTCTGGATTTCTCAGCAATGGCCTTGCTGGCTGTGGAATTCTAGGACTTGAAGTTTACACATCTGGAAGCTGCCATGATTGATAAACAATGCTCTGGTCTAGACACCACCTATATGCCTGATCTGTTTTTCTCTTGAAGCCTATTGGTTAGAGTGCAATCGTATATGTAGCTACTAATGTCCTGTCAAAGTGGCTTTCTTCCATATATAGAATATTCCTTTTTATGTATTATGATTCTTATACCTCTTATACTTTACAACTTTCTTTCTCTCTAAAAAATACTCTGAGTTAGGTTTCCATGGCTTTTTTTTTACTCCAAGGCAACAGCACTATATAAATCAACATACTGATATTAAAGACAGCAATAATGCTAATATGCAACATCTATCTCTGTGATAATGATCAGACTATACATCTTGCCTGTATCTTTTATTCATATTTGCTTAGGAACATACAAAGCCAGATAACTCAGCAAAGTACCATAATTATATGTATTCAAAACATCAGTTTTACAAAGAATACAGGAAGAGAATACACATTGCACTGATCAAATTAATTGTTGACAAATAGCTACCTTGAAGTTTAAAATTCTGTTTCCAAACAAAGAACCATTGATTGCATACCAGTATTAACATAAGTTTTCCCCGTAATGTTCTTCTAAGCATAAAGGAAGATTTGACTGCAAAATGTATGTTTCCACTAGTCTCCATTTATTTAGACAGAGGCAACATATTTCTGGTTGAGTGAAAAAATTGTGGATGGCATATTATACACAAAAAGTATTTTTTCTACTATGAAATATATGCTAGCGTGAAGTTAACTCCATGGGAGTTGTTATACTCACTAATACAACCAGCAACCTAAGATACTGTATATAGGGAAAGCTACAGCCCATTTATCCCAATCTTACCTTATATTTCAGTCCAGTACAGTTTTTAACATATAATAAGAGAAAGTGACATTTTCTCCAAGACATTCAATATACAGTGTGAAAATGACTGAATCTTTCGCAGTTTCATATTAAAGACTTTCTGTGCTTTGGATATAAATATTGAGTTAAGAGACTTCCACCACTTGCCACAGCTCTTCAAACAAAGGAGCCAGTTCTTTTTCCAGGCTTACAATCAGTCCTACACAAAGATAGGCAAAGAAGATGAGATATAAAGAATAACTGTTGTTTCTCAGACAGAAAGGAAAACAAGTATGGGAAGATTTAAATTCCGTCTTAATCTATGGTTTTGGAAGGGCAGTCTTACATCTTACACTAGAGGCTGGCTCAGGAATTCTGGGAGTTGAAGCCCACAGGTTGCAAAGGGTCCATAGTTGCCCACCCCTGCCCTAGATTTTGTTCAGAGGCACTACTGAATCCATAACTAGCACACGCCGGAGTTACTTCACTTTCATAGTGTTAGGAAAAAGTTGTTTCTTCAGTGAGGAGCAGTATCATAGCTAGCACGACAGATAATTCCCTTTCTATTGAAGGAAAATTTAAATATTTGGTTCTGCCACCAATGCTGACCAAGGATAATCTCTGAAAGCTTTGGTATAAGGCTTTCTTTAGGTCTAGCTTTTACTCCTTACGACAGGAATAATTTCAGACTTCTTTGCAAAAGTTGTATTTAGCTTAAAAAATGGGCACAGACCTGATCATTTAAATCTAAGTATTGAAATGCTGATTT